ATTTAATATGGTCGGAAATGACTCCTTCACTTTCTTTTAAGCTTCTGACTGAAGTCCATTACCATTTTGTACTGATATTAACAATATTTATTTTATAATTTTCGACAAATCAAATTTTTAAAAATCTCATAACTAAGCCAAAACGCATTAATTCAATTCGGAAAGCGGCAGTATGCTAATTTTAGCAGGGTAATAAAACTGCATAGTCCATTTAAAAAGTACATTTTTGCCCCGATTTTTGCAGATTTTCATGATGTAACCCCTTTCCTTTTTCCCGAAAAAATGGGAAATTTCTGAAAAAAGTTTTTTTTTCGGCCGGATAAAGCTAGAAAGAAAGCCCTGTAGATGCTGATCAAGAATATATATGATTTATAGGTCGGAAATGACTCCTTCACTTTCTTTTAAGCTTCTGACTGAAGGCCCATTACCATTTTGTACCGATATTAACAATATTTTTATTGAAATTTTCGACAAATCAAATTTTAAAAATCTCATAACTAAGCCAAAAACGCATTAATTTCAATTCGGAAAGCGGCAGTATGCTAATTTTAGCAGGGTAATAAAACTGCATAGTCCATTTAAAAAGTGCATTTTTGCCCGATTTGCGATATTAACAATATTTTTATTTGAAATTTCGACAATCAAATTTTAAAATTCATAACAACCAAAAACGCATTAATTTCAATTCGGAAGCGGCAGTATGCTAATTTTAGCAGGGTAATAAAACTGCATATCATTAAAAGTGCATTTTGCCCGATTTTTGCAGATTTTCATGATGTAACCCCTTTCCTTTTTTCCGAAAAATGGGAAATTTCTGAAAAAGTTTTTTTTCGGCCGGATAAGCTAGAAAGAAAGCCCTGTAGATGCTGATCAAGAATATATATGATTTATAGGGTCGGAAATGACTCCTTCACTTTCTTTTAAGCTTCTGACTGAAGGCCCATTACCATTTTTGTACCGATATTAACAATATTTTTATTTGAAATTTTTCGACAAATCAAATTTAAAAATCTCATAACTAAGCCAAAAACGCATTAATTTCAATTCGGAAAGCGGCAGTATGCTAATTTTTAGCAGGGTAATAAAACTGCATAGTCCATTTAAAAGTGCATTTTTGCCCGATTTTTGCAGATTTTCATGATGTAACCCCTTTCCTTTTTCCGAAAAATGGGAAATTTCTGAAAAAGTTTTTTTTCGGCCGGATAAAGCTAGAAAGAAAGCCCTGTAGATGCTGATCAAGAATATATATGATTTATAGGGTCGGAAATGACTCCTTCGCTTTCTTTTAAGCTTCTGACTGAAGGCCCATTACCATTTTTGTACTGATATTAAAAATATTTATTTTTATATGAAATTTTTCGACAAATCAAATTTTAAAAATCTCATAACTAAGCCAAAAACGCATTAATTTCAATTCGGAAAGCGGCAGTATGCTAATTTTTAGCAGGGTAATAAAACTGCATAGTCCATTTAAAAAGTGCATTTTTGCCCGATTTTTGCGATATTAACAATATTTTTATTTGAAATTTTTCGACAAATCAAATTTTAAAAATCTCATAACTAAGCCAAAAACGCATTAATTTCAATTCGGAAAGCGGCAGTATGCTAATTTTAGCAGTGTAATAAAACTGCATACTCCATTAAAAAGTGCATTTTTGCCCGATTTTTGCAGATTTTCATGATGTAACCCCTTTCCTTTTTTCCGAAAAATGGGAAATTTCTGAAAAAGTTTTTTTTCGGCCGGATAAAGCTAGAAAGAAAGCCCTGTAGATGCTGAC